ATTTAAGAAACTTTTAACTAGTAATCCAAATTGACATATTCTGAGAATTAAGATTTTAAAACACTTTTTTTCTTTTTAATTATCCCTGTCCTATAAAACACAGTACTGCCTTTAAAAAAATTAGGCCATTCAACGATGATACATTAAACAGATATACATATATATACATAACATCGAAACATTCACACGAAAACTAACATAACTAAGCATTAAGGTCGTTACAAATGTTAAAAGCAATCAATCCATTAGCATGTGTCATGTGACTCTACTTGACATACTGGGGGCCCGGCGAAATGCTAACCTAGTGGATTTTCTATTAGCTGGGCGTGAATAGCGTCCCTCACTACGAAGGCTACATTGCATTGTGGCTGCAATAACCCAGGTTCGAATCCTGGTCACGGCACCATTTTGTTACGTAGCCAAAGAAGAGACAGTGTTTTTAGTAATGAAACATATACAGAACATCGAAGCATTCACACGAAAACGAATATAACATAACTATGCATCAAGGTCATTACAAATGTAAAAGCGATTAATCCATTAGTGTGTGGCATGTGGTTGTCATGTGACTCTACTTGACATACTGGGGGCCCGGCGAAAAGCTAATCTAGAATATTTTCTATTAGCTGGGCGTGAATAGCGTCCCTCACTACGAAGGCTACATTGCATTGTGGCTGCAATAACCCAGGTTCGAATCCTGGTCACGGCACCATTTTGTTACGTAGCCAAAGAAGAGACAGTGTTTTTAGTAATGAAACATATACAGAACATCGAAGCATTCACACGAAAACGAATATAACATAACTATGCATCAAGGTCATTACAAATGTAAAAGCGATTAATCCATTAGTGTGTGGCATGTGGTTGTCATGTGACTCTACTTGACATACTGGGGGCCCGGCGAAAAGCTAATCTAGAATATTTTCTATTAGCTGGGCGTGAATAGCGTCCCTCACTACGAAGGCTACATTGCATTGTGGCTGCAATAACCCAGGTTCGAATCCTGGTCACGGCACCATTTTGTTACGTAGCCAAAGAAGAGACAGTGTTTTTAGTAATGAAACATATACAGAACATCGAAGCATTCACACGAAAACGAATATAACATAACTATGCATCAAGGTCATTACAAATGTAAAAGCGATTAATCCATTAGTGTGTGGCATGTGGTTGTCATGTGACTCTACTTGACATACTGGGGGCCCGGCGAAAAGCTAATCTAGAATATTTTCTATTAGCTGGGCGTGAATAGCGTCCCTCACTACGAAGGCTACATTGCATTGTGGCTGCAATAACCCAGGTTCGAATCCTGGTCACGGCACCATTTTGTTACGTAGCCAAAGAAGAGACAGTGTTTTTAGTAATGAAACATATACAGAACATCGAAGCATTCACACGAAAACGAATATAACATAACTATGCATCAAGGTCATTACAAATGTAAAAGCGATTAATCCATTAGTGTGTGGCATGTGGTTGTCATGTGACTCTACTTGACATACTGGGGGCCCGGCGAAAAGCTAATCTAGAATATTTTCTATTAGCTGGGCGTGAATAGCGTCCCTCACTACGAAGGCTACATTGCATTGTGGCTGCAATAACCCAGGTTCGAATCCTGGTCACGGCACCATTTTGTTACGTAGCCAAAGAAGAGACAGTGTTTTTAGTAATGAAACATATACAGAACATCGAAGCATTCACACGAAAACGAATATAACATAACTATGCATCAAGGTCATTACAAATGTAAAAGCGATTAATCCATTAGTGTGTGGCATGTGGTTGTCATGTGACTCTACTTGACATACTGGGGGCCCGGCGAAAAGCTAATCTAGAATATTTTCTATTAGCTGGGCGTGAATAGCGTCCCTCACTACGAAGGCTACATTGCATTGTGGCTGCAATAACCCAGGTTCGAATCCTGGTCACGGCACCATTTTGTTACGTAGCCAAAGAAGAGACAGTGTTTTTAGTAATGAAACATATACAGAACATCGAAGCAGAAAACGAAAACGAGTATAACATAACTATGCATCAAGGTTGTTACAAATGTAAAAGCGAATAATTCATTAGTGTGTGGCATGTGACTCTACTTGACAGACGATGCGTACAATATCAAGAAACGCTGACACTGGATTAAGACAAGAAAACTGCAGATCTATCTGTATGCCTCCAGACAGTTTATGCTTTAGGAAGCACATCTACGCTCGAACTATATTGCAAGCCTCTGGAGACCGTATAGAAGAGCCATATCCAAAGATAAAAAAGGACTATTGCATCAATTAGTTGTCAAGAAAGTCTAGATGATGTAGATTATACGGACACTGAACAATTCAGTGACAGTGCAGATAAAGGAGAAATTAACGACAAGTATGAAATTAGCTTATGATCTTGAGACAAGGAGAAATTAGCTTATGGTCTCGAAATTGTTATCTGGACAATAGAAGCTAATGTAAATCTGTTATGGTTTCATGTTTGAATGTTGTAGAGATAACTAACTGACCAAACTGATTCAATAATTTTTTTTCCACAAGCAGATGACTCAAATTTCATCCGAGTCAATAGCCCCAGTTCTGACAGCAGTGCAGTCTATGTCCACTGGATATGATTTATTTGCTAAAAATGCATGAGAAATAAGCTTGATCTCTTTGTAGGACGTTCAGCTTCTTTAACCCACTTTTCTACAAACCCACTCTACACGTATCTCGGAAAATCTTCCTCTTCCATCCGATAAACATTCTGCACAAAAAACTGGTCTAGGAAAAGTTCGTCTAGTTAAGTTTTCTTGGGTAACCATTGTTAGCTCATTCACATGCTACATCCCAGCGTTTGGACAAAACCCCCCGTATCTTTGAAAAGCATCCTCTCCCACCCTTTCAAATGTTTTTTTTATTTTTAAACCAAAAACTGGTCTAGAAAAGGTTGGTTGGCAAGCTCCTCTTCGGGTGGTCATTGACAGCTCATTCACAGGCTGCATGCCAGTTTTTGGACAAAACCCCCTGTATCTCGGAAAAGCCTCCTCTTCCGCCCGATCAACATTCAGATTTAAATTCTACACCAAAAACTGAGCTAGAAATAGTTGGTCTGGTAAAGTCTCTCGTCGGGTGGTAATGCACCCCCTTGTCCCTCTGGACCAGTGGCGGACATTTGGGGGGGCGAGGGGGGGCGACTGCCCCCCTAATACTTTGGAGGACAATGGTCGTTTGTTCTAAAACAATGGGAAATGTGACGTCATCTTATTAAAATAAAAGGCTTGCCCCCCCAATATTTGATCAAGTGTCCGCCCCTGCTCTGGACTATATGGGGAAGACTGACAATGCAGTCAAGATGCAACAATGTTGATTACTGTATATTTTGTGGACATACTTGGCTCGTAATTGGACAAAGCTCAATAGACGAACTTTTGGAAAATATGGCCGCTACCGACCACTCTTTTGTCGTCAACTAACTTAATATATATTCCTACAAATCACTGTTGTTGTCGGCTCTGACGGTCGGTGATCTATCAGGAAGTCATAGCATCTCAAAGACATTGTGGCTTTCAATCAGGATAGCAACCCTTCCGAATGTTACAAAATTTGCAGCTTTAGTCAACGCATCTACACCACGCCCCCCCCCCCACCGGTATTTTAGCTTCTGTATCTGTTAAAATAGTGTGAACTGTCAGGGCCCACGCCACCGGGGGGGGAGCTAGGGTGGCCATGGCCCCCTATTTTTGCGAAGCAAGTAGTTGAAGCCTTGCTCAAGCCTTCACTGTGATGCACGTTTTCACTCTTGCGAAGAAAGAAGCCTTGCCCCTACTTTTGCTAGCGTTGCCCTCCCCTCCCCCCCTTCCAAATTCGTGGCGTGGACCCTGAGTGCATATGCACAAGGTATAATAAAGACCCGAGACAAATATTGTTGCCTTTTGGGCAGTGTCCTAGATTGGAATGTTTCATAACGAAGAAACAAACAATTGTGAAGGTAGAATATCGCAAAATAAATGTATTGCTAAGGTAGAATTCCAAGAAAAAAACCATTTATGGGGAAAAAACCGGAGGAAACAATAATTAGAAATGTTGCAAGTATTCTGAAATCGGAAATTTCATAAACAAATCTACTGCTTTTTTGACATGTATACAATAATTATACGACTTTATCAATTTCCTATGTATTCAAAAAGCTGCTGGCAAACGAAAAAATTCAGCATTGATCCTATTGGAAACCTTCTGCGAAAAACCCTTTCTAGCTCTAAATGGTACAGACTTTGAATTGAATTCTATTGTAAAGACAAATTCATGAATTTGGTGGAAGCTTTGATATTCTCTTACATAATATTCCAAATTTTCGTATATCATATATTTCCAATTGCAGCAGGTTTGCTGCCACTATAATTTCTCTGGCAACCTTCAAGACTGACACAAAACAGGTGCTCCTTGAAAAACCAGTTCACTTTCAAACCTTCCTACATCCAGCAGGCGAGAGTCAAGAATAAAAGCACTTACATAAAGGAAATTTTCAAACCAAAATGAGCCTTTAGTGAAACTTTATCGATTCTCGACAAATCGTGGAAATTATCCCAACTGCAGAATCATTCGTGTCTTTCTCTATTTTGTGAAATAAATCTTCTCCTTTAAGGTTCCTTCACTTTTAACCCCCCCCCCTCACTTTTAAGCCCCTCTTCAAAACAAGATGTGCTTCATTCTAAACCAAGGGTACAAAATACTTTTATCTAGGAAAGGAACTGACTCTGTCAATAAGTTTTCATTCTTGCAACATCTTGTGTAGCTATCCAAAATGATAAAAACTCAAATTAATTACGCCTGGCTAAATAAAATCATTCAAACATGGACGGACTAAAAAAAATTACTGATACAACACACTTTTGGAGACAATCAACAACTCAAAGTTGGAAAAATACACGAATCTTAAAGCACATCATTAAAGCAATTTAACCCTTGTAGCATGAAAATTATAATTGTTGCTAGACCAAAACTAGGTACTGACGCAAAAAAACGGTCTTTGAAATAGAGAAAAAACTAATTGATCATAAAAGCTAGTTTTCACTTGAACATTATTTCAATCTTGATTATGATAATTACCACAACTATTTACTCTTGCTGTCATTGTTCACAGTCTGCCGACCTTGCTCGTCGATTCGCTTTGCATAGGATTGAGCCATTGAATTGATAATTGATAATACAAAATAGATTATCATCAATGTCACCAACTTTTCAAAGATAAATCCAAGAATATTCCCCCCCTGAAATAAAAAGTAGAGTTTTAAAATACCAATTATAAACAATAACATTTATTGCCAGCAGTGGCAGACACCCGGGGAGGGCTATGTTTATGAAATAGCCCCCCCCCCCCGGCAAAATTTTGGAAAACATTGCTCTAGAAAGATGGGGCAATGTGACGCCACTGAATGCAAACTAAATAAACGTTCATATACTATCTAATTTCTGAAATCTTAAAAATATAATAAGCAATATAAGACACAAAAGATATAAAAAAAATTACCGATTACTATTGTGTCATGAATTTCTCGAAGCCGTAAAGGCAAAGCTGTACACGCTTTTGCTGTATAGGACAACTTCGAACCGTCCTATTCTATACACCATTATTAAAAGGCTCACAGACAAGCAAACAGACAAGCAATAGCATATCTACTCATATAAATATAATAATTGGTTTAAATTAAAAAAGGAAAAGATTTTCTCATTAATGTCAGCAAGAGGAGCCTAATATTATAAAACTAAAACAAAAGTACGGAAAAAACAGAACATTTAGTAAAGTTCTAAAATTAGCAATTTTTCCTCGAAATATTCCTCGAAATATTAAAATATTATTTCATAGAAAATATTCCTTCTTTTACCAATAATCTTTTATTTTCTGTCGGTTTTTTTATATTCTTAAAGGAATTAAGAAAATTTTCAAATTGAAAATAATGAAAATTTTTTGAGAAAACCTTCCAAAATAAACCAAGTGCTGCAAAATTTCTGCGCTTACGCTGAAACCTTACGCAAATCAAATGATGTGAAATATAAGCGAAGAACAGTAAAGTCAGAACAACAGACCAGACAGACAGATCATTCAGTGCAGGGTTATAAAGCCATATTATTTCTTTACTGCTGCAGGTCTTGCTGAAATCGGTCGGTACAAGGGTACATTCACAAATCTTCCTTGCAATATTTACCGACTGTTTGTGAACATTTAATGCAATTTTGCGTAATTATCCAAACCAGTTTTGGTGAAGACGGAACGTTCGGCCGTTCGTGTGGCGAGAGCTCTTGCCTTTATTGACTGTGACAATTTTTTATGCTTCTTGTTTTTCAACTTTCTTGCATATGTCTTTGAGCATTCAATGGATAGCTTTTAAGGATAGCTATGAGCAATTTAAGGATAGCTTTTCGCATTATTGTAATAAACTTTTATTTCTAGACACTGTCCAGAAGTTAATTCTTTTGTTTCGGTTGTTACTACCTTGAGGAAAAACCCTCACGGAGTTTGCTTACATATCGATAAGACTATTTTTTCGAAGAATTAATAAATACAAGGCCAAAAAAACTTCAAGAAAAATTCGAGGAAATTGATATGTACTTTCGCGAGGGGAGTGTATAACAAAATATGTAACGATTATGTGACAGTAGATCGTAGAAGAATAATGGAATGAGCAAAAACTGGGATTATGCTGATTGAAGTCGATAAAGTAGAAAAACTAGTTTCATTTTTTCAGTCTAAAGAAATGTAAAATCATAGAAGAGGTTGTTTTAATTCACCAAATGTTTATTTTGAATTTGATCAAAAATATAAAGTGAATCATTTTACCTGGGCTGAGGTCTCTTGACCCAATTTTCTATGCAGCTTTTCCTTTTGTACTTGAACAGCTTTCTTAAACGGTGCCTGAATGTAAACTCCAACGAAAGGGATTTGCCTGTAAAATAAGAAGAATAATACAACTGAATGGTATAATTTTAGCACCCAGAGGATAGGAGAGATAAATTTGATTTGATTTGATTTATTATTCAAATTCTACTACAATAATAATTGTTAACAAAATACTGATGATAATAATAATAATATTAATTAAGACTTCCTATTTGGTATCTGATAGGTTGGCTACAAATTGCGAGTTGAAATTGTCTTTACAAAAACAAAAAAATCAAACAACACAGAAATTTTAAGGAGCTTCCAGCCACAAATACCTTAGGGCGTACATCCCATATAAAAGGACAGACATAGAACCCCAGTGACTCAGACAGTGCTGATGTTTTTGCCACATTACCATAAAATAAGCGTAGATGCCAAATATTATCCTTAAATCTCTCGTCCTTCGAAAAATTGAGCAATTTAAAATTTTGTTGTTTCTAATGATCTTGCTTATTCTTGATAAATTCTAACTATATATTATAAGATTAAGTCATGGTCGGTTATTTTTAATACATAAAATGAAGCTTGCAAAAATGGGGAAAAAATCTTTCAAAAAAACCAGTGACTCAATTGCTATAATTTTTCACGATGATGAAAGTTTTCACTCTGCTAGCAAAAGTCATGGGTGCCTTATTTTGATACAGAATGACCCATACTTAATTTTTTTTCTATAATATAGGTTCTATAATCTAGGGCCAAGATGAAACTTGTTTATACTAATTCATCTATGGAGGTTATATACAAAACCTGGCAAAACTGGAAATTATATTAAAAAAGGCTGAGTTACCGCGTTTATATAAACTAGTTAACGTTGTTGATTAAAAATACATTAATACTTAAGAAAGAATGAAATCAGTTATGAACTGTTCGATCGTTATCTTATGTAAAAGGTCTGCCTGAGGAACTTTGCGAGGACCTGAACACATTTATTGTCTTCGTGGCTTCTTCTACGTTCTTTATTGAAGATCAAAAGAAAAATGATTTCGATAAGAATTTCCACATAAAGACTTCTATCAGAGCCCTTTGACGAGCTTTGTCATAAAACCAACTGATAGCTACAATTCGTTTTTAAATCGTCAAAAAATCTCCTACCAAAATACCACCTCGTATAAGCGCTTCCCAGTAAATAAAAAAAGGCAAAAATCGCTTCGGTCTTTCAGCACCCCCTCTTTGAGACACAACCTTGTTTTTTACACTTCTTATCGAACGAATTTTCTAAATTTATATGTTTTCTTGTTTCTCTTTTTGTTTGTCTTTTTGTTTGTCGTGTTTTAGCTAAAGGAAAAGTATGAACTAACACCCTGTATTTTAACGATCCACTCGAATGGGCGTCCCGTAAAGGCATACAAAAATCTTAACCACAGCCCGAACACGGCTCTTTTTTCGAAATTATACAGTTTTAGTATTACACACATATACAAAAGTTTCAGATCTCCACACACGTCGGTTTGTTACATTTGTTTTGATATACAGAAAACACTGTTTGTGTTATTAGGGAATTAATTTTCTTTTATCTTCAATATCAAGATTATACTCCATGTCGATAGTGTAGCAACAATACTTTGAAAAAATCTTTTTTAGTCCTAAACCTAACAAAACACAAAACCTTTTAATCTAGGATCATTAGAAAGTAAAATTTTACTTTATTTATCTTGACATCTTTACTTATTAAATTATCAATATACACTTTTCATGGAGAAAAACAATAGAATAAAGCGAGGAATTGTACTACACAAGTGAAATCATGTAACCGAAAAAGAACATTTGCGAAAATCCCTGACATAACCTCAACTTTCGAATTTGTAAAACAGTTATTGAAACCCCATACTAATCAGAAAAACCTACAAATGACCAAACAACCAGCACTGGTAGACAAATAAAGGTTTTAAAACAAAACTGTCTTGTAAAACACAAAGACACACAAAAGAAACACAACTCAACGATGCAAGAACACTCTTCTCTTCAAAAACCCAGCCTTCGATCCAAACTTAGCGTGTAAACATCTTAATCCGTGGATCACAATTACCACTGGATTTCAGAGCCAATGCTAAAAAATTGTTCACATACTGGTAATGATATGAGTACGAGAAACGTTGCTCGTGATATTTCATTCATAAAACGGCTATTGATTTAAAATTAGACCTGTGTGAAACTCCAAACTGCTTTGTGGCCCTGTTTCCGATTAACAATCAATTTATCGTAATCCAGAGAAACTTGTCAACTCATAATTCTCGCCTTACCTTAATTCTGTTTTCTTTGTCATATTTCCTTCTTCCTACGCATCCCGCAGTTCCTTTTGATATTTCCTTCTGATTTTCGAAAACTAAATTAAATTTTATAACCTAGAGCAATAATTCGACGGTGAAATATTTTCCTTCATTTCTAACTGCCTCGAATAACCCAAGCTGGATACAAAATTTTACTTCTGAAACTTCAACTTTAACCTTCCACCAACCTATAACCTCAAAAGGAGCCTAACAAAACCAGTCCTCCGTGAACAAAAACTCGATTAGCTTCTACGGCAGTATAAATATGAAATGCTACTTTCATAAAATGTGTCAAACAGTTCAGTCGAGGGACTAAATTTGCATTTAGTATTGCACACGGGCGATTTTCGATTAAATATAAATCAATGAGACTTGTCTAATGATATTAACTAGAAAAAGTGGTTTACATGTTGTCTTACTACACAGGGGCTGGCAACATTTTTAGAAATTGGGCCAGATCCTTCAAACTTTTTCTTTAAGCGGGCCAAGGGTACTAAGAAAAACAGACGCGAAAGTTGTAAAAAATGTTAACAATAATAATGAAACTTTCATGTAAACTCAATTACACCACAATTACAACATTCTCTTTTACATAGAAAGTATCCAACGATAGATAAATGTGCTACATTCGTAAGTGCAAAAGGGAAAAGTGAAAAAAAAATAAAAAAAATTAAAAAGGATGTGACTCAGGGTTTGGAGAAATCATCTTATGGTGGAAATACTGAATTATCCACCAATCAGCGTTTAGCATTGGCCTTTTAGCTCAGACCATTCAATATACGTAATCACCAATTTATCCAATATAGGCTAAATAGGGACATGACACAGAGACAGGGACAACCATGATCCCTCCTCAACTGCCATGAGTGCGCCCAATAAGATTCCTTCTTGCTGCATTTGTTAATTTTCACACTGCCCTCTAAAGGTTCTGCTGTCCTGTTTTTGAGCAGAATGAATTCGTGACAACGGATAGTGAACAAATGATTCCAAGGTTTGATGAAGATATTAGATAATCTTATTTTGAATCGACATTTCTCATTCAATGTTTGCGACGCTTTGGAAAATTTTCCTTGCCAACCAAAAAAAATTATAGTATGATATTTTTCTTCTCGCGGGCCACAAAAAATTTTTTCCCGGGCCGGATTCTGGTCTGTCGCAGTAGGTTGCCCGCCCCTGTACTGCAATAATATGTTGTATTCTTTTAAAAGAAGAAGGTTCTGTTAGAATTAGGTTTACAAAGATTTGCTAGCGCAGTATTTATGTGTTCAAAGACGCTGAAGGGTGGGGAAAAATCAAAGAACTCAGCTGAAAGGATGAAAATCAGCCATGGGATGAAAAACAATCATATCTTGAAGTTTTCCTACACAAAATTAACTTCACAAAAGCTGTGTGAAGCTTTGTAACAACAAAAACAAACAAAGATGAGTAAGAAATTAAGGATATGTCAGGGTGATTAAATGGTTTATGCACGGTTTAACAGCAGGGATGCCGTCAAAGGTAATTTGTATACTTAGTATGAATGAAAAACTAAAAAAGCTCTCTTTTACGTTTAGCACCCATTTTCATGACCTGAAGGGCGCTTGACGCCTCGTGAGCTCGTTTATATTATGATACTAGAAAACAATAAAATGACCTGGATTGCAGGCAAATACCTCAAATTTGAACAATAAAACAACGATTGGGATGTCACTTGGGTTACAAGATTATATCCGAGCAATTATGACGTCATTATAACCCACACAGCAAGCTAAAAAGAATTAATAGCTAGCAATTGGACATGACTTTTATTTAAGTATAAAGGTTTAAGCAGATTGTTGGTAAGGTTAAAGTTGACAGACACTGCGTGGAGCTACGATAACTTTGGACAACAATTTCTCAAAAAAGTCCAGTTCGCTTGTCCCTCAAGCTTATACTGAATGACAGGCTGCTTTATTGGCCTGTTCTTTAGGCTAACAGCTTTGCTTAGTCACAAACAGTTGACTTATTTATGTCACGGTAACGATTCAAACGGATAAAATAATGAAATTATGTAGATGAAACAAAAAACTCACCCCAAAAGTTGGACTACAAACTCAACATACGACTTGCTGAAGCAGAGTATCACGAACGTTTGCTATTAAAATAAACAGAGAGGGAAAGCTTGAAAATCAGTTAGCAAAAACAAGGATTAAAGAAAGCAAGAACATTTTTTGATGACTCATATTTTCTTAGTACAAAATGCAGGTAGAAATAGAAAGAGCACTGCCAGGGATGTTAGGCAGAAGATTCATTGTTTCACTTGCTTCATATAAAAAATTATTATCAAAGTTTTTCGCTTAAACATCGCAATCCGCTTTATACATATGAATTTAAAAGTAGCCCATAAATTCAGGCACACTTCATTTTCACGAATTAAGAGAAAAACTTTTTATTAACCGTTAACTCTTTTTGGCGAAAGTTAACTTCTATGTTGACTTCTAATAATACAGTAAGTCCACATAAAACCCCTGTTATTATCAGGTTGAAATGGCTCTTTTCATCAAGGTTTTTGAGGTTTGAAAGTCCTTTATCTGCATATATCTGCAGCTTCTTGTTACGGGTTTATACTGTACCTTCTCAATAAAATTTCGTAGAATTATTGATCACAGCAATTTGATTCACGAAACAAACGTCGGTTGCATTATATATACCTGAATGTGCATTTTAATAATTGCTTTGCCAATCAGCGTTGCTCCAAAAAATGTCCAGAAGGGTACCAGACAGTGACCGCATGTTATCCCAGCCAAATCGAACAATGGATTGGGAATCTAATCAAAAATGTAAAAAATCAAAGTCGATTAAGCTAGACAGCAATACAAAGCGTAATTATTTGCTGCACAAGTTTGTTGTATTAGCAAAAAGCTGAGGATGTCAAAAGCTGGATATGTTTTAATTTCCATTTACTGCTACTGTTGTTTTCTATTTTATCTGATACAGTTAATTGATAATACAGAAAGTAACAAACGCAATCTCCATTGCAAGACAGCTATGAGCCACAAACTGAATCAGCTTATCAAATAACTAACTGGTTAATAAACAAGCGGAAGGGTATGTATATTTTTCATAAAGAGTACATACCGAAGCACACGCTAAAATACCAAAGAATCCAACTTTCTCTACCAAGGCTGGAACAAATCTTTTTATTCTTGTAAAGATGTCCTGAATGTAATAAAAACACGCCCTTAACAAAAATTCAAAATTATATCGCTATTGACAATAAAACTTTGAGAACATGTAATAGTGATGCGTTAACGACGAAGTACTGCCCATATAAAAAGAGATCTGGACAAATGGAAACTGAGTAAAGACAACTAATTCAATGTTTACCTTCCCCTCTGATGAAATGATTTCTTCAAGTTTCTCTAATTCTTCATCATCTACTTCTGTTCCAGAAAGGCGAGCTATGTTAAAAGAATCGAACAATGAAATTATCGCTAGATGCTTGTGATCAACAAGAAATAAGAAAATCTTAAAATAAAATGAATCTTTAACACAAGGTTGCATTTCAAAGCTCAGATAAATTCTTCTAACGGAATATCTAATACAACTGCTAATTTCTGTCTTCAACAGATAACCATTACCATAGTTTTCTACTAGTTACAACAGTTTACTACTCCTAGCTGCAGGTTTCTGTACTTAGCTAAAATAATGTTGCTCACAGATCCATGTGCACATTGCTGAGCACAAAATTGTATCAACGAGAAGAAGTGTATGCATCAGTAGGTAAAGTCTCTTATCCTGATATCAATTTAGATTCTTGTTACTGGAGATAAACTCACCCGCTTTGGCCATGAAGTAAGGTGGTAATTCCCCAAGGGCTGTACCGGCACCCTGATATTAAAGAAAGCATGATACATTGTGAGAAAAGAAAGCTAACTAGCTTATTACATTGTACTGCATTTTTCTGTATTGTAGGGATAACTCCTGAGGGTAGAGAAGCTTTGGCTATAGAGCAGAATCCTGGTACATTCTCTCGATGTCACCACACGACGCGATTTCTGCGACTAGAATGACAGAGACAGGGCGACTCTTCTGACTCTAAGTAAAAGCTTGGTGATGGAAGAATCTCAAACCTCAGACACTTAGACCTATTTTCCGCGTCTCTAACCAACCTACGCATTCAAGCTTTCATGCGATGCAGGATAGCTCTGTAATTGATCTGCATTAAGCATACTTTTCTTCAACCAAAAAGAATTAAGAATTTCATGTGTATTGTCTGTGTGTTTTATGTTTATCTGATGTTTGAATGTTATAGATAACCAAGAACGAAATTTCAGAATTTTACCAATACAAATGGTTTGTTATCGCCTTTATCAAAATAAAAAAATAACCATGTTATTTTGTAAATAAGTCTAATGATTATGTTAAAATCGTTATTTTAACTGTGTCTTCGAGGTTTCCTCAGTGTATTTTCCTCAGCATTGTCTATTCTTAGAAGGTAAATATTTCGCTGATCATCTAACCAGAGGTTAACGTCTGTTTTTTCAAAGCCAGTTGTTCAATTTAAATAAATTATATGACTGAAAATAAAGCAACTTGAATGCTCACCCACATGACAGCTTCCAGCCTCACTTTGCTCATTATTGTGAAAATGTTTACCGTTGAAGCCACACCATTTGAAGGGCAGATAATTCTGGGTACAAGAAATGAAAATAAATCAGCTGTGGAACAGATACCAAGTCAACGAGGCATAGCCTGCGTCAAGATAACATTTAACGATAAATACTAATCAATGGATGTGGTATTGTTAATCGTAAAGTGTTAAGCAAAAAATTAGCGGTTTAAAGATGAATTGTTTATTAGTGAAGTAAAAAATTCATACTCTTCTTTTACCTATACTTGTAAATTAACGATGAATTTAACTTGATTAACAGGCTTAAAACAAACACCAGTGTTGCCCTGATATCCATGATTCGTTGCAAATTTTTATTATTTGCATTTTGTAGAACTGTTTTTAACGAACATCTTACCAACAGAAAATACAGTGGCATATTGCTGAATATCAGTGAGGTTTGATTTGCTTAATTGTATAATCACTGAAACAAATTTTGGGCAAACATGAACATATCAATTCAACTTATAGAGGAGGATCATAAACGATAGAAAAAAGCGAAGAGTTAACTAATTTGTACATGGAGACATTGGTTTTCTGTTTCGTCGAGTCGACTAGAAGTTAATCCTTTTCGTTTCAAAACCTGGCAAAGCTTTTTCAACAATCCAAAGTAATTTAAAGGTGATCATGTTATCGTTGTCATGTCATGGCCACTGTCCTGAATACACGGCGCCATAAGATTGGCCAATTCAACCGTAAACAGTGAAAAATATTCACGAAAATGATACAACCCAGAAAAGGAGCAATTAACCTAATGCTTTTGGCCGTCAGATAATGCTTGCCATCGATTATCAGTTCATGGAACAGCGATCTGTACAATGAGATAATATTACTTCGCGAAAAGTACGGCTCTCTCTAGAAAATCTTCAATTTGAATTCAACTTCGCGTAAAAACACTGCGCCATGGCTTAAAATCGTTTTTTTATCAATATTAAAAAGTTCAAACACAAAGGTTTGATACATTCTACTGTGCCATCCAAAGCAGGAAAGAACACAAGGTCATCTGGTCCCTACTTTGGATGAAGTTAAACTGCATTTGTTTTGCATAAACTATCAGTCGTAAGATCTTAATATTTTCAAGTGATGACTTTCTGCAAATTGCTTCGATGCACACTTTTTTCCGAACATAAACGACTTTTTTAATAAGGGGGTCAATTTGAATTCAACTTCGCGTAAAAACACTGCGCCGTGGCTTAAAATCTTTTTTTTTCTATCAATATTAAAAAGTTAAAACACAGGAAAGGACACTTTTTTCGAACGACTTTTTAACTAAGGGGGTGCTTTCTCCTCGATTAGTTTATCTATGGAGAGAGCTCCTCCTATAAGAAATTCCCTGCATGAAAATCCCTCCTTTGTTTTGTATTGCAGTTTGTTTTGTAGAATTGCATTTCATTAATTTTGTAAAGCTTTTGTTGTTTAATTTGAAGTAATATTTGTGAAACTGTATTGTAGTGGAATTTTGAAATTAAAGGAACTAAACTTCAAAAGTTCGCTGTTTTGATATATGGAAGATGAAACAAGTTTGCGATCAAAACATTAAGAGAAATATAACGAATAGAAAAGCAGCTTTCTTAAATCAAAAGATACCTCTGCGATCTAGGTTTAGGACCAAATATAGACTTCGGAAAAGGATGCATGAGTACAAAAAGTACAGTCCTTTTAAGGATTTCAGAAGAACGAAAAAGTAAAACTTCAGAAAATAATTCACATTTTTCAGATTTTTCCATTTTTAAAGTTTTTGTGATGTTTAGTGTGCGATATTTAGATTTCTGTAGTTTTAATCAGCGTAACATATTTCTTGATTAAACCTGATCTCTTATTCAAATAACATAAAAACATTCATTCGATTAACAAAAAGTTTCGTCTTTTACTGTAATAACACAGGGTTTTTTTACTGTAAAACGTCATCATATAAAGGTGTCGCTACCTGTGCCAAAGTTGGTTTTTTTTGAGAGACATAAGTCCACTTTAACGAGCTGGCACGAGACAATGGATTGAACTGACATAGGAGGAGCAGAGATAAATTTCTGTGAAAAGGTTAACCCAATTTTCATAAGTTGACTTTGATTTTTTTTCGTTTCGACTCTGTATGCACTCATATTTTATAAGAAACAAAGGTCAAAGTTGAGTACTCTAGTTTCTTAAAGTTTTGGGGAATTTTAACAAACATTGTTTCTAGAGAGTTTCTTAACTATGCCGATATCAATTTTAATATTGGGTTCCTAAATCAAATCTTTCATGATAGAAAATTTTCCAATTTTCATTGCTTCAAATCGTGAGATTCGTCAATTGTTTTCAAATGCAAATGACATTTTTGTCAAGACATTTGCTCTCGTTCTAATGTTGTACTTTATGAAAGAGTGGTTTTTTCTTTCTGTATAAATTTTAATGCCAGTTAGCCAATCTTGTTGATGGATTTTAACAACTTTATCTGAGTTGTTTCTAGAAGATTTTATTTCTTTCCTAACTTTTTTCTTCGAATATAAAAGTTTTTTATTTTTTTTTAAATTGCCCTGGACTTGTAGCAAACCTCATATACCGAATGAGTGACTTTGGCATTGTTGATGCATGGGTATCGCTTCCATTCCAAAAGAAATATAAGAGTGATCCCGATTTTCAAATTTGAAACAAAGCATAAAAAATTCAAATAAAAAGCATTTTAGGACACCATGGTTGTCTCCTAGTTGGAGGTAGAAGCACGTTGGCACAGGTGATGTTCAGTGAATGCAGTTTTTTCTCCGATATTTCCTATGCAACATTTCAGCACCACATAGCGAGGACGGCTGCCATATCGAATGACGTTTCTTTCGCCATTCAAAAGTGGATAAATTTCCGTAACACATCCACCTGACATTTAAGATGGCTGTACCTAATCAAAACCAATCAGCACCTAAGCAAATCCTAACGGAAATGGCCTCCTATCAGGAAGATGCCCAACTGGCATTGTCTCTGTCCGGAGAGAGAACCCCTTCTCTATTTATAGCATAGAATGTTGATAAAGTAGGCATTTGATGGTGGTCAATGTTCGCACAGAGTGGGCGCATATAGAAATACTCGTTGGTCATAAACTGTGCAGACAGGCTAAAACATATAAATAAAAGCTTAGCCACACGGCAGATATTTCTGGCACGACGTAGGTGTACGGTGGAGCTCTTAACCACGACTGGATTTATATTAGCACAATTCTTGTCCGCATACACAAGCCAGAGGTTAACTGTGAAAGGAAACAAGGAGAATCAACTTCACCAAAGAAGCGCTTTTCACTTAAGGCTGACATTGAACATTGCAAAGATGAAATCTTTCTTGATAGCTGATATCCTTGGAGAGGATAATGACAAAGAGATGAAGATGCAGGGGGAAGAATGCGATGAATGCAAATCTGCAAGGTCAGAAAAAGGTACGAAAGCAAGTCTTATCTTATCGTTGCAAGTGAGAAATAAAAAGTAAAACTTAAATCTTATTCGTTGTACATCGTTATACTACAGCCAAAACCACGGGTTTATTCATGTTTCCTTTTCACAGTGTGAATGCACTTTTCTTGTCAAAAAACAACAATCACTCATATATATTTATTACGTGCATTAATACAGTCTTAAAGCATTGTGATTCTTCAAGCAAAACCAAAGTCTCGGCAGCAACGCGTATTTCTGACTAAAATGTGTTTGCCTGTGTGTTTTCAATAACGAAATAGTTTTTCATACTTTTCAAGAAATTCGACCTGAGCTACTTCGCATATTTCTAAATATTCCTAAAATTTCTGCACAGAATATTACCTTAATGGTTATTGCGCTAATTGCGATGTATCTTTATAAATCTATATTTTGGAGGCAAAGCAAAGTTTTCGCTTCGTTGTCATTAAGGTTCTAGGGTTCGATAGCAAGTAGCAGTACTATATGGTCCTATCTCCATTGTTGTCTATTTTCTCACTTGGCTACAAAAACCTATAAGGAAATAGTTAACAGCAACAGACGAAAATATATAAACGAATGCAGAAATAAATATATACGAACTTTTAAGAAAACGAAGTTGTATGAAGAAAGACCCCGCCCCTTTGGTCTCGATTTGGAATGTCTATGGTATATCATCAACTGACGAGAAATGTCTCTCTACTGATAAGAGAACCGTTTCTTCCTGCTAAGAAAACATATATAAGGTACTAAAAGCTGCCCCTCTTCCTTTACACATGATTGCAGACAAATGATTGTGTAGGGGCCTGTAAGAATCTGCGGTTGAATCCAAGTTTTGAAATTGGTTCTGAGGAAATGAATCTGATCGCTCCACAAGATATAAAACGCACGTGCAGAAATATTGATCCAAAGCGGGAACGCCAGTCCTTTCCCTTCACTCATCATGTAAATTTATCTTTGATATTTATCAATGAAGTCAGTGTATGTTTTTGCTTTATCGATCGAAAGTTCAACCGCGTAAAATGTAGGTTGTCCACAAAGAGACAGGAATCGTTGAATGAGAATTTATTGCCCTTCTTATTATCTCTCACTTCATATGGGATAGGTGACTGGCAATTCATAATAGCCTCGTTAAACCTATGGAAAGTTAGGCGTGTAAAGCCCGTTTTATGGTCTATAGAATGCCACAGACTTTCAGCAAAGGGCCAATAACATGTCTATACCTATAACCATTTTGAATTCACTGGTATACAGAAAATTAAAACGATGAGAGACGTGAAACTGCGTTAGGGAAAATATAAGTCAATAATATCAAACCTTTATCGTCTTACGTTACGATATTCAAATAGTTCATAGCCTTTTCATAGGGAAATGAGCTCGGGGAGCAAGCCTTTGTTTATAAAGAGAGGAGAACAATAGCCTATGGTTTAACACTGGGCCTAGAAGCTGGAGGAGCAAACGTCCCCTAGTTTATATGTTAAAATGACCCTGCAATAGATTTTGAATAACTGTCCTATTTAACTTATCTGCGACTTCTGTAATAAAGCCCTTGGTTCTTTGCAAAAATCTTTCAATGTCTGCTTAAGCTTTTGTCCGGGTTGGTTGGTTTCTTGT